ACAAGATGATCTAATGGTGTCTTCTGGCCTTACACAATCTATGAATATGGAAGAGGCTCTGGCAGGTTTAAAAAATGTAAAGAAAGAAGTTTAAATAGACAGGGACAGAGAACGGCTGTCCATTGCCCAAGAGTGGCAGGGGGAGGGGAGGTAAGCACAAATGAAAATGAGAAGAGAGTTTGGCCTGAGGAGTTTTGCTTGGGATAGTTTATTTTGAGGGGTTTTCACTTCCTTTCATAAATACTTGCTACACCTTTTATTGTGCCTCGTTTGTGGGGTTGTGCATTCTTCCGTCCAATTAAAAAGCACATGGGTTATTGCTTGTGCCTACAACAAACACATCCAAAACCACTCAGCTTTGAATACTTCTGTTTATTCACACCAAGGAAGTGTGCAGCTAAATTACGTAGATACCTTTCAAATGGATGGGATAATTTTTACTCCAATATAATTTCCACACGCTCAGCATAAGGCTGCGTCTGTGCGGCAGCTACCATTAAACATACAGTACGGCTGCCACTTCACCTTGATTCTAACATACATTGAAAGAAAACTCTCTGAAATGTGCTTATAAACCCCCCTCCCCCCCATGCAAAAGCTTTATCCTCCCAACAGACTCCCAAGACCTATGCAGCTTACCCCAAATGGAGCCTAGATCAGTTTTTCCAGCCAGGCGTTTTCTGCTGTTGTGTGTCACCGACCAAAGAACTCACTTGGCATTAGCTACAGATTAACATTCCCTGTATGTTATTTTGCAACCACATTGGGACGAGACCCATCAGTTCATGATTTCTTAGCACGCTGGGAACGCCGAGCTGCCAGTATTTCACTGACAAATGACCTTTTACACCTACCACAGATGTCAATGGTGGGTCCTGGACTCATCTGAATCCAAGTCTCAGTCAAGTATTAGACAGATGCACCATGTGTTACTTACAGACTTACTACTTCTTTATTTTCACAGTTAGCTGTTTGGTTTTGCTTTGCATTTTTTTCAAGTTCATAAACCTTATAAGATTGTTATGGAAAAATTAATTTACTATTAAACCTATTCAATTTGTTTCAGAATGGAACAATCCTCTCTTTTTGATTTTCATTTACAACTAGTTCCATTCTGCTTGACAGTTTTTTTTTCTATTTATAGCCAGCACAATTTTTTTTTTAAACCATGGATACAGTACATACGTAAATTAACTAATGGAAAAATATATACATTTCACTCTGTAATGAGAACCTTAAATGCTATTATTGCCATGGAGGATATATCCCTGTATTATAATAAAATATCAAGCAATAATCAACTGCTAAGATTTCTTTTCCACCAACAACAGAGAAATAGCACCATACATAAGATAGTGAGAATCTACACTTTGTAACACAATTGTGCAACTAGAAATGTACAGTACTTTAGTAACAGTACAGAGAGTATTGTTTACAATATGGAAATACCACCACTGTAATCAAAGAGCATCAATCTCTTATGAACAAAAAAAAAATATCATCATGGCTACACTGAAATAAACAGCTTTCTTTTCACTGGTATGTAGTAACTGAGGCCAGAGCGTAGCTGTAAATTCATAGTAAAAGCATCTATAAAATGATACAAAGCAAAAGTGCAGAATTAAACATTTTTGTTGATATTTTTGGCCATTACAAAATGGGACGGGATTTAGGGTCATCAGGAGATCAAGTAATACAAATGGGGCTCTGTTTTTAATGTAGGAGGATTTCTGCTCAGAAATAAATGGCATTTGTGCTCAGACAGTCAAAAGAAATCCATCCATTAAACCAGCAGATTCATGTCCCATTATATGGACGCAAACTTGGGGCCTAGCCCAAAACCCCGCTGACGTCAATGGGAGTATTTCTATTGACAGCAGAGGGGGCTGGATCAGGGCCTTGAGAAGGCGAAAAAACTCCCACTATGTAAGAAGTCCATTTCTTATCACTCTGAACAGAATGAAAGGGTCTTGTGATAAATCACATGACAGCACAAAACAACACAAGTAACATGCTGTAATAAATGACATGCGAGGATGTGGCATTTCACAGAGTCAAGCCACACCGTGAGCTGAAATGTTACCCTTTAAGAAAACCCCAAACCCTAACAGGGATGCAAATCACTTTACAATGGGGGCCGTGAATGGCAGAGTGAGGTGCATGTCAGTAGGCTGGGGTAAAGGGGTGTAACTTACCCCTTCAGTGAAGGGACTGAATGGGGAGAGTATGGCAGGAAAAGCTACTAACAGGCCTTCTTAAGATAAAGCAGGCTCTCTCTGCTTGATCTGATACCTTCTTGCACTTTCTCATTACCTGTTTATCTGCCTACTCTGTCGATTTTGGTTTTTATACCATGACCTTCAATCAGCTACATTCCCCCCACCTCTCTTTCTGCATTAACTACACCATTTTATACTGACTTATGCTACTTGGTAACTTACACAACCAACTATGTCAGCTCTGAATTTGGACCCAAGGTTAGAAATAGGAGGAAAAGATTTGATTCGGATTTTAAAAGGAACTTACCCAAAGAGCCACCGGTATAACAACCATCAAATTAGAATCATTTCCCTCACACACGAAAACTATCTAGTATGCAGAATAAAGATCTGTTAGGGCCAAGCACTTACAGAGAGATAATTGTGTACACAAATGTGCCTTTATGCGTGCAGACCAGCACTTGGGTGCACAAGCCCAGTTGCACAAGCAAGGACACATTTTGCCCATGCACATGTGAATGCATATGCAGTTATCAGTCTGCAGATGGAAGTTAGGTTCCTATGTTTGAAAGCTCAGCCCTTAATAAAGCCATTACAAATTATTTCACCGAGCTCCTGGATACCGGAACAATCCAGGGAGAAACTGTTGTTTAAAAATGTTAAGTACTAAATGCCTTTATCCCTCGGCACATTAAAGGAAGGCAATAATAGCAATAACATGAGAGAGAGGCATGAGCCACAATGCTCACATTGGGATCCAGACTTTCCCAATGTTTAGTGCTGGGGACTGGGTTTTGTTCTGTGCCCATCTCCAAAATCATAAATATTAACATACGTCTCTAAAGCAAGTATAAAGCTATAATTCACCCATACAGCTTGGCTGATTTCACAGAGCGTGAGTGTAACCTACCCACGGCATGCATGGCAGCAGAGCTTGGCAAGGGAAAGGATACGTGTCTGAGGCTATGTCTACACTACCGCAGTAAGTCGACCTATGCTACTCAACTCCAGGTACGTTATTCACGTAGCTGGAGTCGACATACCTTAGCTCGAGTTACCGTGGGGTCTACACCACGGGGGGTCGACGGCAGAAACTCTCCCGTCGACTTACCTTTCTCTTCTTGTCAGGGGTAGAGTACAAGGCTCGACTGGAGAGTGATCTACTGTCTATTTGGTGGGTCTCCACTAGATCCGCTAAATCGACCGCCGGTGGATCGATCTCAGAGCGTGGATCCTGGTTGTAGTGTGGACATAGCCTGAGTTAGATATGGCAGAGAGACATTGATCGACTGTAATGCTCACTAAACCAAATTCTGCCCTGTGTGGAGCTCCCATTTAAATCTCAGGGACGAATTTGGTCTGAAGTTTAGACACGTGTAAGACACTATCATTTACACAGCACTCTCCAACTGTCCTCATAAAAGGAACACCAGGTAACAAAGCAAAAGGAGACAAGACTGATGCTATGGGTGTGGCTATACATGGCTATCTCGCTACAGCTGTGCCGCTAAGAGTCATGCCGTGTAGCTGCTGTTTGTTGGCTCTCCTGCTGACAAAAAACTTCCATCCCCAACGAGCGGCATTTGCGTTGTTGGCAGGAGAGCCTGGCACACTGTTCACACTGGCGCTAGTTGCTGGCAAAACTTTTGTCTTTCAGGGTGGTTGCTGTTGTTGGTTTTTTTTAACACCTCTGAAAGACAAAAGTTGTGTCATTCAATCGCCAGCGTAGACATAGCCTGAGTGTGAAACCCTGGCCCTACTGAAGGCAATAGGAGTTTTGCCATTTTGGCTTCAATTAGCCCAGAATTTCACTCTGAAAGTCTACTAACTGCTCCCTTTCTGTCTCAAAAGGATTTAGGATGTATACATCCTAGGGTACGTCCAGACTACCCGCCGTATCGGTGGGTAGTGATCGATTTATCGGGGATCGATATATCGCGTCTCGTTAAGACGTGATATATCGATCCCCAAACGCGCTCCCCGTCGACTCCGGAACTCCACCGGAGTGAGTGGCGGTAGCGGAGTCAACGGGGGAGCCGCGGCCATCGATCCCATGCCGTAAGGACCCAAGGTAAATCGATCTAAGATACTTCGACTTCAGCTACGCTATTCATGTAGCTTAGATCGATCCCCCTCCACCCCCCCCAGTGTAGACCAGCCCCTAGAGAGGGGAAAGATCTGCTTGGTCTCTAAGGCTAGGTCTACACTACCCGCCTGAATTGGCGGATAGAAATCGACCTCTCGGGGATCGATTTATCGCGTCCCGTTGGGACGCGACAATCAATCCCCGAATCGACGCTCTTACTCCACCAGCGGAGGTGGGAGTAAGCGCCGCCGACAGAAAGCCGCAGAAGTCGATTTTGCCGCCGTCCTCACAGCGGGGTAAGTCGGCTGCGATACGTC